TTATGTACTGTCGGTGCATAGGTAAGGGCTATTGACTGAGATGACCAATATATATATATATATATATATCTACCTAATATGTAGTGTTACGTTATGTTTGTACACCTACTTTATTAGTATTGAGTCAGGGTTCAAGTGTGTGAATCACTCGTCAATATTAAAAAAAAATTCTGTCTTATTCCCTAATAGAACACTGGTGTTAGTGATTCACAGATGTTAAATTGATCCTATTGGTATATAGAAAACTAGGTGATGCAGTTGGAGTGGCCGCTGTTGATGAGAAAATGGTAAAAAACCAATTGAGATGTTTTGGTCATGTGTAAAGAAAGTCTTGGGAAGAGTCGGTGAGAAGAGTTGATCAAACAGTATGAAGTCCTCTAAAAAGGAGTAAAGGAAAGCTGAAGACAACGCTTAATGAAGTCATTGAGCGAGATCTTTCCATTAACAATATGTCCAAAGATTTGGCTTTAGATAGGGCTTAATAGTATCATACAATTCATATAACTGACTCCACCTAGTGGAATAAAGCTTTGTTGTTGTTAAATTATATTGAATCAAAGTTTAAAAATTAGATTTTAGCTAAGTTAAATCTATATGGGCCGAATGATTAATTTTTCTAAACAAATTTTGATGTTAATTTAACTGTTGGAGTTCCCAATCTCTCTATCATTAAACCCTATCTTTAACAAGGCACATCAAACAAGTCAAATTAGTTGACTTTCTATTTATCAGATATTTTTCCTGCTCCAAATTAAAGCAGAATCCGTTCAAATATCAATATATGTAATATCTATGACCAATTAATATGTGCTTCTGTCTATATATATTTATCAGGTTGCGGATTTTGGACTCGCTAGATTGCTACGAGAGCCCTCTATCATGACTCAAGTGCTGGGGGTCAGTCTTAATCTCTTAGTCTCACTATTAATTATAAGTACATGGATTCGCACTGGATGTGTATTCAGTAGTGCTTATTTCAATATTTATGAAATTCTGAGATTTCATTGATATGAGCGGCAATTACTCTGAGAAGTCAGATATATTCTCCTTTGGCATTGTGCTTTTAGAGCTGATTACAGGACGAAAACCTGTTGATGATCCTGAGAAGTAACCGAAAGGCAGTTTATGAGTGGGTCTGTACTGTACTACTTAAAAATATTTCTCTTTTATACAACATCTTACTAGCTATTATATGTTCCTTGATCGATAAGTTATCTTATTTATGGATGCAACTGAAAATTAATATCAGGATGCTGGATGCTACTTTGCGCATGTTTTAATTTGTTTGTTTTGATGACTTCATTGATAGAAGAGTGATAACTGTAGTGGGCTGACACGCACACACACACACGTTAAAAATCACGGGCGACAACGCTGTTGTCGGAAGCTTTGGAGAACAGAAACTTTGAAGAGTTTGCTGATGCAAGGTTGCAGAGAAAGTATGACCCGGGAGAGATGTTTCGAATGGTTTCTTGTGCTGCTAATTGCGTTCGCCATTCAGCCGAGCGTCGTCCTCGAATGAGCCAGGTTAGTGCCCATAAATTATAAAATTTTTGTTTCCCTTTCAAAGAAATTTATTAGGATTGGATTCTGTTATGAAATTGGTTTTTTTTTTTTAGAAAGTATGATAATATATATATAAATATATAAATATATAAATATAAGGGAGTCGTTGATGTAAAACAAATCATATATGAAAATGGGATAATTAATATATAAATCCTTATACTTTCATATATTTTTAATCAAGTCCTTATAATTTTTTTTCTTTTTATCAGGTCTTTATTGTTTTACTTTATTTTTAATTAGGTCCTTCTAGTTTTTATTCTTTATTTTACAAATAATAACATTTTAAAAATAATAAATTATTGTAACAATCTTATGTCAATATTCTTTTAAATTTTTAGTTAAACAAATATATTATTTATTTTCAATTCAAATTATAATAATAAATTTATCTAAAATTAAAATATGATTATAAATAATTTATATTTAAGTATGATTCTTATTCTGATTATTTATTAATTACTAAATGATTATATTAATTATTTTTTCCAATTATATAATTATTAATTTAAAAATGAAATTAATTTTAAAGAATAAATTTAATAAATAATATTTCAAAAACTACAAAGCACCTAATTAAAAAAATAAGTAAAACTATAAGGACCTGATAAAAAGAAAAAAAAATAGAATGACCTAATTAAAAACACACGAAAGTAAAAGGATTTGATAAAAAGAAAAAATTTTATAAGGACCTAATTAAAAATCAGATGAAACTATAAGGACCTGGAGATTAATTATCCCTATGAAAATCATTAAACCAAACTAAGCATCCAATCCTACCATTTACAGAGCAGTACGCAGTGGATGACTTAAACGTATAAATATCCATCGCCATAGTTATGTGATTGGGAGTAGTAAACCTCAGATCGCTTGTGATCTCTAATAGGGATAACTGACACATGGTTATCATTTACAAAGTATTCTTCACCCTTTTTATAAGGTATTTGTTCGTTTAGTTTCAAGGAGTATTAAATATGTTTTCCACAAATGCCCATATTATAAAAGTAGCACGGGAGAGAGTAAAAATTAATATGATGATGGAGTTTAGTGCAGTAAATAATGATAATGTTGGATTGGCAAAAAGAAAATAATGATAATATTAGAAATCATTTAAATTTTTTTAACTATTTTAATCAATATGTGTGAATTAGCTAGACTTTTTTCCCACCGTGAATAATTAGAAAAGATTTAGACTAGAGAGAGTATAACGCAGTCAAAATAAAAGAATGTCAGGGATTACGGTGATCGCGGTTGGGAAAAATAAAGTCATCACCAACCAATCAATGAACTCTCAAGAGGAGCTAGCGAATTAGATTTATGATATGTCACGATCCTACTTCGTCTAGTCATAACCTTAATAACTTTTCTTAGTTATTTTAGGTCACTGTATAATTTTTAAGGGAAAATCCCAAAAAGGATTCTTGGAATATGAGAAATGTCAAATTGAGTCTTTAAATTTCGAAAATGACAGAATGGATCATTGACCCAATCTGTCATTTGTGAAATTCAGGCGAATTAACAATTTTACTCTCATTTATTCATTCACTACAATGATTCAAAGAATCACTATAAGAGTTTAGGTGTTACCTAAATTCGCGTAGCGAATAACTACTCATTTTTTCATAGTCATGTGTCTTGTTATTAACTACAACTAATTCTGTAATCACTAGAACAATGTAAACATTACCTAGATTTGTATAGAGAATAACTACTCATTTTTTCATAGTCAAGTATCTTATTATTGTCAGGTACCTTATTATTAACTACAACGAATCTTGTAATCACTAGAACAGTGTAAGTGTTACCTATATTTGTTTAGAGAATAACTACTCACTTTTGCTCAAGGGCAAAAATGTCAATTCGCCTGAATTTCATAAATGACAGATTGGGTCATTGACCCATTCTGTCATTTTCGAACTTTAAAGGCCTAATTTGAGATTTGGTATATTCCAATAGCTTTTTCTAAGATTTTCCCTATTTTTAATAATTATTTCTTCTTTATTTTCTTATATTTCTTACTCAATAGTAGACTTTTATAGAATAATTATTTTCCTGAGGCTTTAAATAAATATTTATGCCTCTTAAACATCTTATAAATTTGTAGCTACAAAATTTGGGATATTACAAGCATTATTGTATTCACAATGTTATTGAATATGAAGGAATTAACTATCTTGAATAGCTACAATAAAAATGATTTAACTGATTCACAGGCATCTAAATCATATCATATTTGCCCAAACTATGGATACGCAATGTATTAACTCTTGCGCCTCCAAAAAGTAGTGTGGTGACGCATAGTATGGCATGTACAACAGCCAACACAAAGATGATATAGTGATTCTAGCTAGTGACAATAGTAGAATCTTCCCCTGCTTTGCCAAACACAACCAACCAATATATTATAGAGAGGTATCCCGGTTTAGCGAGTTCAATTTCAAAATCAAAACACACGCAAGGAATCTCACCAAACTGATTTGTTTGATACTACTACCTCCGGTTCTTATTATAAGACCCCATTTGACTTTTTATTTGGTCCTAATTATAAGACTCCAATCTATTTTGTCTCTCATATTTATGCATTTTTTTCTAAGATAATCCTTCTAATAATGATAGTTCTAGCTAATATACTTAATTAGCAAGGATATTTTAGGAATGACAACACTTATTTATTACAAATAACTAACTTAACTTACTTCCTTAATCTCCTCAATAAGTCAACTGGGTCTTATAATTAGGACCGGAGGTAGTATTATTATTTCTCACTAAGCACATGTTTGAAAATAAAGTCAACACAAACAGCAAACATAAATAGAGAGAGAGAGGTATTCTAACATTTCTGGGTTTCTCATTTTTTTTTTTTAAAACCCGAACTACATTGAGAAACAGTGAATATACATGCTGCTGTAAGAAATTCATGGTCATGATTAAACATGGATTATCGTCCTTAAAATTATAGTCTAGTCTTTCAAATGCAATAGGGATGGCACAAAAACAAACAATAAGAAGTATCATTAGATAAAAGTTGAAAGCCAACGATGAAACAAAACTGCATTTAAAGAGATAAGAAAGAATAAAAATGACATTCAATACCATGGTGAATGTAGTCATTGTTTATTATTTATTATTAGGTAGATATTCAAAAAGGTAACATGACAGTGTGTCATCATATTCATATTTTAATACTGAACCAATGAGCATGAACTATAATGGCCTGCTTACAAATATGTAAACCGCAATACAGGTCATTTTAGACAATGTTAAGCAGCTACTATATACCAACTAACACCCTTTTTTTCATTGGAATATTTGAAAGAATTGGCATTCAACGCTTAATTTTGTTAATATCAAATGTTATTTTGAAGCACAACGAACTGCAATCGGGAAGATCACCAAAGACAAGTATAAAATGAAGTATATGTCTCTGGTTGCAATTTGAAATAACTCATCAGATTAAAATGAATGAACACTAACTAAAGTTAGAGGCTAATGAATACAAGGTTTTGCTTTTTCTCGTGACGAGTGATAAGAAGATTGTTGCATTGAAGTAACATTTATGCAGAGTATGTACGAAGCTTGATTGCTATATATTACCAATCCTCGGCTAAGCATCTCTGATTTCTTTGATTTCTTCATGGCATAAATCTCTCCAGTACTTTTAGCACGACATAACCTCACCTGCATTATATAAAAATGCCACGAACAAAACAAACTATTAGAATCCTAAATTTGTAATGCAATCTATCTTCATTGCGCACCTCGCCAAAGGCACCTTTTCTAATTACAGTTTAACTGCTCCAAGTCATCAATTCTAACTTTACATCTCTGCAGTCTCATATATTCAGTCTCTTGATGCTCAAAATTCCGCATCACTACCTCATTTTCTTCAGCTGAAATTTGAGCTTCTCATGCCTGCCTTAGAAGCGTTTTATGTCTGAAACAAAAGCATGATTTATTGAAGTAAACCTTATAGTTTATTTGCTTTGACTTTTTTAAGTTGAATTGATAATTATAAAATCTAAGCTCATACATCCTGAACACCATCATGAATAAGTTGTTGAAGAAAACCCCTTTACACCCATAGTACTCTGTCATTTGACCTCTGATTATTGCTTCCACCATCAAAGTCAGATTTGATATAGAATTAAAGACCCGAATAGAGAAAACAACAATCGATGATATAATCAGCAAGAGAATGATTGAGCTGAAATTTAAAACATCATTCGATTAAACACATTAACAATGTCCGAAAGTTTTTTTCCTCCGGAAGAAGCAGAACAATAAAATACACAAAGACAAAAGGCAACATCAAAACTATGAGGAAGACTAAAGAGAGTATGTAGAAAAGTGAAAGGAAGAAGAAGGCTTGGATTTACCTGTAGGCTTCACTCCAGAAGCACTCCCTGCCGTATATGAGAGTTATCGGCATCAGAGGCAGCAAACTGAAGGCCCCAGAGTTGGTTTATAAGCGAAGAAGAAAGAGTAATGATTCCCCTGGGAAATTGAGGAGGAGGGGGGAAGGGATGTGGAGAAATAGAATTAAAAACGCAATTGAAAAGCAGGGAGTTAAAAGTGAAGAATGGATTTGATTTGGAAAGGAAAAGGTACGGGTAGGGGAAATTTTCAAATTTAAGACTGAAATGAAAAAGAGAGAAAGGGTAAGGGTGAGGGGAATTTCAAAATTTGAAATTCAAATCAAAGCACTCAACAAAAGTATCCAGAAAATCTGCACCACAGAGATACACCATACATTTTTCTCAAAGCACATCATTGTAGCATGGCAGCCCCCGTCCAAACCAAGCGTGGATAACCATCTTTTGTGCGCACGTAGCCCAACGCGCACCCAGTACTGTTTATAGAACAGCGAAAATAGAGAGGAGCCGACAATGGTGGCTCGGCTTCTCTCATCGTTTCATCCTTATCCTCTTCAGATCTCATGCACCACTCTCTCCACCCTGCACATTCTCCCTTTTCGAAATGACGGTGGGGAGGCAGAAAAACCGAGGCACCAGTCGACGAGGGTAGCAGATCTACGAGATAATGCACCAGTCGATGAGGAGATAATACCGTCACATTCTTCCAACTCTCTTTGCTGGTGAGCGGCGGGAGAACACGATAGGGCTTAGGAATGATGGAGGCAAAGTCGATGATTGCAAGAAGATGGAGTCGAGTTTGCGAGGCTCCTGTTCAACGCGTGGCCGACTGTGATGCTGGAGGTGAATTTTTTTCTGTTATTATCTCGTGTTCTGGGCATTGATCTGGTATTCCATTTTTGTTTTCTCACCATTTGCAAATCTGGTTGATCTGGTCTTCCATATCTGTTATTATCTCACCATTTAAGAGATAAAAGAAAGCAAACGATCATCCCAAGGATTTTCAGAGTCACACTACCCACTGCAATCCGCCTAACCGATCAGACAAACATGACCGAACAACACTGTAGTGGTATAAATATCATCAAAATTGCTTCGAGTATATTTTGATCGTTAGTGAGCAAAAGTGACTTCTAACTCAACTAAGTTTTGTAACTGAAGTTAGAGTAAAAGTCAGTTAGTGTAATGTAATTTATGTTTAGATATATACTTTTAAAAAGTCAGTTGAAAAAATTAAAAGTTGTTTGGATGATTAATAAAAAAATTAGTTTAGTTGTAAAATGACTGAAAAGAATATAGAGTAGTACTTGAAATTTTATATTTTTAATATGGTAATAATTTAAAGAAATACGTAAAATTATTATGATAAAATATAAATAATTTATTTGTAAAATTATAAAATAAAAATATTTGTTACAAAGAAAAATTTGAAAATATATTGTAGATAATTAATTAAATATACATAATGAACAAACATGAATATAAATTAAAATTTATTTGGTCTCTAATTAAAGTAAATAAAATCACATAACTAATTAGATCATAAGCTTTACACAATTTTTTCATAAGTCAGTTAAAAAAGTTGATTCAGATTACGTTGGATAAGTCAGTTAGAAAAGTTATTTCTTTTTCATAAGTCAGTTAAAAACGAAACTCAATCCAAACAATCTTCTAAACTGTAATAAGCCACAAACCTCAGTTTCACGTTTTCCTCTGTGCTTTTGGCATTCCAGACGGCAATCCAAACAAGCCATTCGTATTATTTTTCACCTAATAAAAGAACAGTATCCCTCTTTTTTACTTCTGTGGTTGCAGACCAAACCCAATTTATGCGAGACCAAATATCACAGTTAAGATCTATAATCCCAAACCCACATTTTCCTGCTTACTGAGACCGAATACTACTCATTTAAGATCTTTAATATATAGCTTAAGATTAATTTTTTATGCCTGTTGTTCTTCCGACCTTCATCTTCTGTTCCTCATTCATTTTTCATTTTTAATTTGTCTTCTGTTTTTCCTTTTTCACTGGCCATTACTTATTTTGTTGTATACCCTGTTGAAATGAAGAAGTTGAAAATGATTCGGTGTTTCTTCATAATGTTGAGCTTTAAACACGCGCGCGCGCGCGCCCCTCTATTGCAGTGGGGTTTTGTTGGTAAGCATTCTGTCCTTTGTATCTCCATTCATTGAATATTCTTCTTTGAATGTTGTCTAAATTGTTTATTGTTTATTGCCAAGTTTGTGGGATATTGAAGTCAATTTGTACGTTTAGCTGGACTTTGAGATATTGAAGTTAATTCTCATGAAATCAGCTACTCCTCCGGTCCCTAATATAAGACCATTTAACTAATTTGATTAGATTAAGGAAGTTAGGTAAGTTAGTTAATTATAAGAAATGTGACACGTTTTTCCTAAAATACCATAATCATCTTTCTTAATACCCTCTCTTCCTCTTCTACTTGATTATGGTTGAGGGAGTATCTATAAGGGTAATTTAGAAAAAATTGAAAAATATAATAAATGGGTCTTATATTTAGGACCAAAACTAACTCAACAATTGGGTTCTATATTAAGGACCGGAGGAGTAATACCATAAAATAGTAACTTTGACTTTTAGTATTAACAGCTCTTTTTTTGGACTGCAAGTATTAACTCTTTTACATAACGTTAATTACAAAATTATTCTCTATCAATTGGGCATTATGTATGTTCAATAATATACATATAAGTCATTTCGTATTTTGTATTAACAAACTTTATAATCAATTCACAACAGTTCTTTTTCCAATTTCCAAGTAAATCTTTCTCTTTTTTTTTTTTTACAATGGAAAAGGCAAGCAAAAGCTTGAAAAGGGGGGAGACTAAGACTCCTACAAAAGACCCGAAGTCAGACACGAAGTTTTGTCTTCCAAAAACATCTTCCTGCATCCATCAGGAATCTCCCATCTCAGCACCATCCCCATTGATCCTCTAGGGCCTGTTTGGGTATCCCCAAACCGTGGTTTCAGAAGCACTTTTCCGCAAAACGAGATAATCTCCTCCACATATTTACTTCGTAATCCGTAAAAGCACTTCTGAAACCATGGTTTGGTTTCTATCCAAACACACCCTATGTCCTTCTCGGGCCATGAAATCCGCGCACTTAATATGGGTCCGACTTGTGTGATGAATCTGAACATTTCTCTCCTCGAAAGCCATGTCTCTTATCTCCGTTATGAGGTCTCTCTGTGAGTGTTCCCCGACATAGTCTCTCATAAGTAAATTAACCGCTTCAATAGAGTCTGTGAAAACCAAAACCTGTTCAGCTGAGAGGTTTCTTCCTAGCTGGAGCCCCGCGTGTATCGCCTGTAACTCTGCTTCCAGAGTTGAGCATATACCTAAATTCTTATGGAAACCCACGATCCAGTTGGCATTTGAGTCTCTGATGACTCCACCGCACGCCGCTTGTTGATGCATCCAAACCGAGCCATCCACATCGATTCGGATAGCATTTACTGGTGGTGGTGTCCAATGTTCCTCCCTGTATCCTAGCTTGCCGAATACTCGATGCTTAAATTCATTGTTGATGACGCCTTCCATCAGCATGTAGTAACATTTGTGCAGCATTTCCTTCGGTGATGATGTATGCCCTTCAAAAACAAACTTGCACCGTGTTGTCCAAAGTAGCCAGCAGGCTAAGCTGAAGACTCGCATCCAAGGATACTTGCTAACACTTCCTCTGCCTGGGTTATGCACAGCGTTCCAGTTAAGCCAAACCTGCAAAGAGCCAGTATAAAAACTAGAAAAATAGTTAGGATGAATAATAAGCTTCCAAAGATCTTTTGCTCTCTCACAATCTCTCAAGTAAATCTTTCTCTATATTAAGCACTTATTAAAGGTATGTTTGGATTAGTGGTAGAAAAAGTAACTTATTTGCAATCTAACTTTTAGAAAAATGAGATTGGGTAAAAGTTAAATTGAGTAATGTGATTTATATTTGGATTGACTTTTATAAATAAGTTAGTTTGTGAAAGTAAGTTGTTTAGACTATGACTGAATAAGTCATTTTAGTTTGTAAAAGTACCAAAATGAGTATCACTTTTATTAAATAATGAAAAGTTAAAAAAATAATCAATTTACATAATATAATTATTTTAAATTATTTATAAGCTCCGGTTCATCTCATATATATATTTTTATTTTTTATCAATTATTATGAGGGTATATTTGAAAATAAAAGTATATTTCTAATTTATTTATTATTTTTAACTAATTTTAACTGATTTTTTTATTATCTACAAATCAGTTATTTGAGAATTATAATAAGAATAAAAAGAGGTAGTAAATTTTTTAACTTTTTTTCTCTCTATGTTTCAAAAGCCATAAGTCATAAGCAGCTGATTTTTACTTGTAGTTTATTGTAGTTTTTTATACTAAAGTGATATTGCTCAATTACCAACCCAAACATTATAAATTGTTCAAACGTGCTCGTGGTTAAAGAAAAGTAGCTTATTGGCCCAAAAACGCTGAGCCCAATAGGCTCTAAACTATCACTTTTTCACAACAGAGCCATTTTTCAATATTGTTAGCTTTTAATGAAATACAAAAATTGTAAAGAAAATTTTGATTGTGATGTAAGTTTATTCATCCGCAAAATTTAGAAAGAATGTAAAATCAACAAAATTTGCATAAAGAAGTAGGTAAAACACAAAATTATCTACAGAAAAGAATAGAAATGAAGAGCGACAGTGCCTTCTTCCTATTGATAAATCAAAACAAAAGGAGATGAGAAAACCTTGTTCTTCTTGTCATTTCAGTAACATTGGCAAGTCCTTGCCGAAGATTACAGATCAATGAGACAAGCAAAATCATGTTACTTGCTTTTTAAGAATTTTGTGGTTTTTAATTAAATGTAATTGTCTCTTAACAGTCCTCAAATGTTATTATCCACCGAAATTTTTAGTACGCACAAGGTCAATCGTACGTGAGTCAACGGTCAACGGTTTCAGGATATGTCTTCACCTTCTTCTCATTTTTTCACTGTTTGCTTCTCCAGAGTTCAGAGTTCTTAATTATTCTCCTTAATTATGTCTTCGCCCTCTCCGCCGTCTATACCTCAAGAGTCCCGGCCGTGCCGCCGCCTCGTGTCCCACAGTGATGAACACTCTATAGTGTTGCCACCGTCTACCTCGCCATCTGTAACCTCGCCGTCTCCCTCGCCGCCTGCTTACGAACGAGCCGGATCACAGCCAGGCGATCTATTACTGGGGGCTTTGCTTAGCTCGCTGATGACTCCGTTGCTGCTGACTTTGGTGCTTGGTGTCTTTTACGTATGGAGAAAGAGGAGGCACTCACCACAACCACCAAACCAACCATCAGCTCGTAAACCCTTTCTGCTTTCCTCTCTTTTAATTTAAGCATTTCGGTTTGCAATCCACAATATAGGGTCCGGTCCCTCTTCTTTGTTTTATTTAATTTAACATTTACACTTAGTTAATTAGCATATCATTTTACATTTCCTTTATATATTAGACCTATATTAAAACATTATTTTATTTTACATTTCCTGTGTTTCTTGGATCATTTATGAACAGGCGGCTAAAAGAAATAATCTTTTTCACTACTAATAGAAATGATAACAGGTTGATTTGGTCAGATGATACACCAAAAAGCAAACAAATTAAATCAGCCCACATCTAACAGATCGAAGTGACAGACATAAACTCTTTT